ACATTCAATGGCACTGTCCTGGGAACACTGACTGTGGCATTGCCCTGGGGACAGTCAGTGGCACTGCCCAGGGGACACTGAGCATGGCACTGCCCTGGAGACATTCAGTGGCATTGCCCTGGGGACACTCAGTGACATTGCCCTGGGGACACTCAGTGACATTGCCCTGGGACACTCAATGGCCCTGCCCTGGGGACACTCAATGGCATTGCCCTGGGGACAGTCAGTGACATTGCCCTGGGGACGCTCAGTGGCACTGCTTTGGGGACATCCAATGGCATTGCCCTGGGGACACTAAACATGGCACTGCCCTGGGGACATCCAATGGCATTGCCCTGGGGACACTGAGCATGGCACTGTCCTGGGAACATTCAGTGGCATTGCCCTGGGGACACTCATCGTGGCAGTGCCCGGGGAACATTCACTGTGGCACTGCCCAGGGGACACTCAGTGGCACCACAGAGCCCAGGGGTGTCACTCACCGGCAGATCCCGCCCCGCTGGACTCCTGGTCACCGCTGGTCCCCATGTCCTGGTCCCCACTGCCCTCAGCGCTGCCGGACTCGCCGTAGCCCGTCTGGCTGGTGGCCGCCACCACGGGCACGGTGGCCAGCGGGCGGACGGTGGCTCTGTGCACCCCGTGGGTGACCCAGGGTGTGGTGGCCGGCCTGGCTGTTGTCACACGCCTCGTGGTGGGGTGGCCTCGTTCCGTGGGCCTGGCGTGTGGCGGTGACGAGGTGGCGGCCGCCGCGGTGGGCGGCGGGGCGCGCGTGGTGGCCCGAGGGGGTGCGGGCAGCAGGAGCCGGTCCGGGGGCAGCGTGGGCAGCGGCGTGGGGGGCACCGGGGGGCTCGAGTGGGTGATGGACTCTGCAGGAGCAGCAGAGGGGGGACGTGAGCAGGGTGGCACTGGGAATGGGGTGACAAAGCCTGGGAAGGGGAGGTGCTGTGACAGGGGGTGTCTCACGGGGTGGCAGGGCCAGCCTCAGGATACGGGGGTGGCACTGGCCTGGGGACACTCAGTGTGGTACTGTCCTGGGGCACTGGGCATGGCACTGCCCAGGGGACATTCAGTGGCACTGTCACAGTGACACTGAGCATGGCACTGCCCTGGGGACACTCAGTGTGGTACTGTCCTGGGGCACTGGGCATGGCACTGCCCAGGGGACACTGAACAAGACACTGCCCCAGGGACACTGAGTGTGGCACTGCCCAGGGGACACTCAGTGGCACTGCCCAGGGGACACTCACCGTGGCACTGCCCAGGGGACACTCAGTGGTACTGCCCAGGGGACACTCACCGTGGCACTGCCCAGGGGACACTCAGTGGCACTGCCCAGGGGACACTCAGTGGCACTGCCCAGGGGACACTCACCGTGGCACTGCCCAGGGGACACTCAGTGGTACTGCCCAGGGGACACTCACCGTGGCACTGCCCAGGGGACACTCAGTGGCACTGCCCAGGGGACACTCACCGTGGCACTGCCCCACGTGCTTGACCGTGATGTGCTGGCCCTGCCTGCAGGCGATGGTCCGCAGCTGGCACTGGTCCCCGTAGGTGACACCATCAGAGCCACACACCTGGGGACACAGGGGACACCGGAGCTGCCCCTCTGGGCCCCTCCCAGTGGCACCAACAGGGCCCTGAACCCTGGCAGTGATTGTGGGGGGCTCCTCTGGGGCACAGAGGGACCCAGGGCGGGCTGGGGGGCACAGAGCAGCTCAGGGATGCCAGGAGACATCTGTGACCTGTGTGCCCAGCAGGGAACAACTCCTGCAGGGTTTCGTGTCCCACCCCAAAGGTCCCCGAGCCCCCAGAGGTGTCCCCAGACCTTGGTGGTGTTGGCCTCGGAGCACAGCGGGGACGGGCACTCGCAGTGGGCGAAGCCGTTCAGCTCCACGCACGAGGCCCCGAAGTCACAGCTCAGCTCCTCGCAGGACCTGGGGGCTGAGGGGTCTGGGCAGGGCGAGAGGGGGCCAGGGGACATTCAGTGGCACTGTCACAGTGACACTGAGCATGGCACTGCCCTGGGGACACTCAGTGTGGTACTGTCCTGGGGCACTGGGCATGGCACTGCCCAGGGGACATTCAGTGGCACTGTCACAGTGACACTGAGCATGGCACTGCCCTGGGGACACTCAGTGTGGTACTGTCCTGGGGCACTGGGCATGGCACTGCCCAGGGGACATTCAGTGGCACTGTCACAGTGACACTGAGCATGGCACTGCCCTGGGGACACTCAGTGTGGTACTGTCCTGGGGCACTGGGCATGGCACTGCCCAGGGGACACTGAACAAGACACTGCCCCAGGGACACTGAGTGTGGCACTGCCCAGGGGACACTCAGTGGTACTGCCCAGGGGACACTCACCGTGGCACTGCCCAGGGGACACTCAGTGGCACTGCCCAGGGGACACTCACCGTGGCACTGCCCCACGTGCTTGACCGTGATGTGCTGGCCCTGCCTGCAGGCGATGGTCCGCAGCTGGCACTGGTCCCCGTAGGTGACACCATCAGAGCCACACACCTGGCGACACAGGGGACACCGGAGCTGCCCCTCTGGGCCCCTCCCAGTAGCACCAACAGGGCCCTGAACCCTGGCAGTGATTGTGGGGGGCTCCTCTGGGGCACAGAGGGACCCAGGGCGGGCTGGGGGGCACAGAGCAGCTCAGGGATGCCAGGAGACATCTGTGACCTGTGTGCCCAGCAGGGAACAACTCCTGCAGGGTTTCGTGTCCCACCCCAAAGGTCCCCGAGCCCCCAGAGGTGTCCCCAGACCTTGGTGGTGTTGGCCTCGGAGCACAGCGGGGACGGGCACTCGCAGTGGGCGAAGCCGTTCAGCTCCACGCACGAGGCCCCGAAGTCACAGCTCAGCTCCTCGCAGGACCTGGGGGCTGAGGGGTCTGGGCAGGGCGAGAGGGGGAGCCGGGAAAACATCCCAGTTAGCAGGAGCCAAAATCCCAAACAGGCAGGAGCCAAAATCACAAATAGGCAGGAGCCAAAATCACAAATAGGCAGGAGCCAAATTCCAAATAGGCAGGACCCAAACCTCAAATACACAGGACCCAGAACCCCCAGTGCTGCAGGACCCCAAATCAGCAGGACCCAAACCCCAAATAAGGAGGACCCCAAATCCCAAATACACAGGACCCAAAGCCCAAATAAGCAGGACCCCAAACCCAAATAAGCAGGACCCCAAACCCCAAATAAACAGGACCCAAAGCCCAAATAAGCAGGATCCCAAACCCCCAAATAAGCAGGACCCCAAATCCCAAATAAGCAGGACCCCAAATCCCAAATCAGCAGGACCCAAACCCCAAATAAGCAGGACCACAAAACCCAGTGCTGCAGGACCCAAACCCCAAATAAACAGGACCCAAACCCCAAATAAGCAGGACCCCAAACCCCAAATAAGCAGGACCACAAACCCCAGTGCTGCACGACCCAAAACCCCAAATAAGCAGGACCCCAAACCCCAAATAAGCAGGACCCAAACCCCAAACAAGCAGGACCCAAAGCCCAAGCAAGCAGGGCCCCTCACCCTTGTGGCAGCCCGTGGTGCCCAGCCTGCTGCCGTCGGGGCACTGGGTGCACTTCATGCCCGTGATGCCCGTCCTGCAGGAGCACAGCCCCGACATCTGCTCGCAGTCATCCCGCACCGAGCCCACGGGGTCACAGTGACACGCTGGCAACGGGGACACGGGTCACGGCGTGGGAACGGGGCAAGGACACGGTCATGGGGTGGGGATGGGGGATAACACAGTTAGGGGGTGGGGACAGGGGAAATACACAGTTATGGGGTCAGAAAGGGGGAAAGAACACAGTTATGGGGTTGGAAAGGAGGAAATGCAGTTATAGGGTGGGAAAGGGGGAAAAAAACACAGTTATGGGGTCAGAAAGGGGGAAAAAAACACAGTTATGGGGTGGGAACAGGGGAAATACACAGTTATGGGGAAGGGGGAAAGAACACAGTTATGGGGTCAATTATCCAGCTGTCTTCCCTCCATCATCCAGCTGTGTTTCCCCCCACTATCCAGCTGTTTTCCCTCCATCATCCAGCTGTGTTTCCCCCCACTATCCAGCTGTTTTTCCCCCATTATCCAGCACTCCCTGCTCAGCATTACCCCACCCTGGAGCTGTGTCTCCATGGGCTGATGTTTCCCCCATCAGGCAGCCACAGCCTCAGCTGTTGAGAGCCTTTCAAAACGCTCCTGCTGGCTCGGATAATTAGTGAATAAATATTAATGAGCCCCTGGCCAGCTCAGCTTCCTGCACAGGGGGTCACCCAGCTGTCCCTGGCCTCTGGAAGGTCCCCAGGTGACAAGTTTCTCCCCATGGAATATTCCTGTCACTCAGGCAGGTGGAAATCCCCGAGCTCAGCAGTGGGTTGAAGGCACCAAGGCCCTGGAGGCAGCTCTGGGGACATCCAAAGGACCCAAAGTGTCCCCTCCAGCACCCTGCCCTCCTGCATTCCCAAAGGATTGAGGCCTGGGAGCTGGCTCAGGGATTTTGGAAGGATGGGAGGATCACCAGCAGTGGGAGGTTGTGGGGCAGGAGGGGTCAGTCCCTTCTCCCTGGGGACAAGGGACAGGAGCAGAGGAAAAGCTGCACCAGGGGAGGTTCAGGTTGGATATTTGGGAAGATTTGTTCCCTGGAAGAGTGGTCAGGTTTGGAATGGGCTGCCCAGGGAAGCGATGGAACCACCACCCCTGGAAATGCTCAAAACCCCGTGCATGTGGCACTTGGGGACAGGACTTTGTGGCGACCACAGCAGTGCTGCAACTCAGGAGAGCTTTTCCAACGTGAATATCCCACAATCCTACAGCTGGGGAGCGTCCAGCTTCACCTCCCGGGGACCCCAAATCCTCCCTCCAGCTGCTCCTCCAGCCCCCCTGAGGGTCCCCTGGTGTCCCCAGAGGTGGCACTCACTGGGACACCCGGCTGCTCCCACGCCCAGCGCCAGGGTGACGTTGTCGGGGCAGCAGCCGTAGACGGTCTGGCTGCAGTGCACCACCAGCAGGGGCGGCGGGGTGGTGGCCAGGCCTGCGGGGGGGACACAGGGACACAAAGGTCACGCTGGCACCCGGGATGCGGCAGCATTCCCACAAATCCTCCTGGAGATGCTGGGAGCTGCTGGCCAGGGGACAGGGGACAGCGGTGTGGCTCCTGAGAGCAATTCCTGCTCATTCCCAGGGAAAGGACACTAGGGACATGGCTGGGGCACAGCTGGGGACACACCCAGCAGAGGGGGAGTGGCCTCCCCAGGGGACACACACAGGGACACACCTGGAGGGGGGAGTGGCCACCCTCAGGGGACACACCCAGGGACACACCCAGGGACACACCCAGAGGGGGAGTGGCCACCCTCAGGGGACACACCCAGAGGGGGAGTGGCCTCCCCAGGGGACACATCCATGGGGGAGTGGCCTCCTCAGGGGACACACCCAGAGGGGGGAGTGGCCTCCCTCAGGGGACACACCCAGGGACACACCCAGAGGGGGAGTGGCCTCCCCAGGGGACACACCCAGGGACACACCCATGGGGGAGTGGCCTCCCCAGGGCACTCACCCCGACAGGCTCCCTGGCTGGCGACAAAGAGCTCCTGGCGTTTCTCACACCGCGTCTTCTTCAGCTCGCACTCGTTGGCGTAGGTGACGCCGTCAGAGCCGCACACCTGCCAGCAGGGCGAGGGCACAGCTCAGGGCAGCCCCTGGCACGGCTGTGCCACCCGGGCGGGGGACGGCACGAGGGCAGGGCTCACCGGGCTGCGGGGCACGGCCACGCAGGTGAAGTCACACACGCAGGGCTCGTCCTCGGCGTCCTCGTCCCACCAGCCCCCGAACTGCCGGCACCGCTCCTGCTCGCACTCGCTGCCGTCCCCCGAGCCGGAGCCCCCCGAGCCACACTCTGGGGACAGGGAGGGAAGGGGTTTGTGCTTGCAGCTTGGTGGGATGAGCTTGAAGAGGAACTCTTGAGATATAGTTCTCTGCTACTTGGTATAAAATTAGGAGGATGGGTTTGGAGGTTGTGTTGGAAATAGAGAAAGGTTTAATAAAAGGTAAAAACGCAAAGCTTTTACAGAGAAAACTCTGTTTTTCTCTGTAAATTACGGGTAAGAGGTTCTTCCTCTTGCTAAAACACCCCACAAAAGTGATTACTTCCTTTGATCTCTTCTTTTTTTGGTGAATTACTTAGGTGGGACTTCTTGGCCTCTGTCCAATCTGACAGCCCCAGGTCTGAGGTGACCTCAGAGGTCCTATGAGGTGTCTTTTTACCAAATTGAGGAGAGAAACTTCTGGGCTTTTTGCCTTTTTAAGCAGACAAAGAATAATTTGGTCACTCCATCAACAGGAGGCACATTCCTACAAGGATGGCCACGGTGACATTTCGGGGGGGGCATGTGCAGGGGATGGGGACAAAGCCCTGTCCTGGTTTGGGGACATGCCCGGAGCTGCACTGCTCCAAACCCCAAATTTCACCTTTCAGCCCCAAAATCCTGCCCCACAGAGGGGGATGGACAATCCAACTGCAGAGGGGCTCCAGCAGGTGGCCCAGCTCCTCCTGCCCCACAGGAGCCAGCCCAGGAGCCCCGTGTCACCCAGCTGCCAGCAGGGCCAGCTGCCACCCGCTTTGGTGACAGTTCCACTCCATGCTCTGATCCAGGAACCCAAATCCCAACTGTGCAGGACCCAAAATCCCAAATAAACAGGAGCCAAAATCCCAGTTATACAAGAATGTAAATCCCAGTTATTCAGGAACTAAAATCCCAGTTATACAGGAATCTAAATCCCAGTTATTTAGGAACCTAAATCCCAGTTATTCAGGAACTGAAATCCCAGTTATACAGGAATCTAAATCCCAGTTATTTAGGAACCTAAATCCCAGTTATTCAGGAACTGAAATCCCAGTTATACAGGAATCTAAATCCCAGTTATTTAGGAACCTAAATCCCAGTTATTCAGGAACTGAAATCCCAGTTATACAGGAATCTAAATCCCAGTTATTTAGGAACCTAAATCCCAGTTATTCAGGAACTGAAATCCCAGTTATACAGGAATCTAAATCCCAGTTATTTAGGAACCTAAATCCCAGTTATTCAGGAACCTAAATCCCAAATAGACAGGAACAAAAATCCCAAATGGAAACCAAAATCCCAAACAGACAGAAACCTAAATCCCAATTGTGCAGGACCCAAAATCCCAAACAAACAGGAGCCAAAATCCCAGTTGTACAGGATCCTAAATCCCAGTTATACAGGAACCTAATTCCCATTTATGCAGGACCCAAAATCCCAATTAAACACCCCAAACCATGCACAGGGAGCTTGTGGGTGACGTGGAGCTGGGGGAGGGCTGGGATTTGGGGCTGGGATTTGGGGCTGGGAGAGGATTGAAGCCCCTGGAGATCTGCAGGATGAGCTGCAGCAGCAGAGATGTGGCTGATTTCAAAGGCTGCTGGAAGGGGAAAAGGGATGGGGGAAGGGGAACCTGGCCCTTTTTATGGTGTGATCAAAGGCTGGGCTTTGGCATTACACACAGAATTATTCAGGCTCTGCCTGTGGAGGGACAGCAACCTGAAATCCCCCGAGCAGGGCTGTGATCAAACACCCTGCTCTGCCTTTTCCCCTCTGCCTCTGACGTCCTCCCCCACAAGTGCCAGGCAACCTCAGCTCCCTCCCTGTGCCAGCAGGAGCCCACAGCTTTCCCCTGAGTGGGAAAACTCGGCAGGTTCTTTATTTTTAGGCTCACCAAGCAAGGCAGAGCCGACCCCAAAACCTTCCCCGGAGCTCTGCTGAGGTAACAGAGCCGTGGGATGGGATGGGTTGGAAGAAAACTTAAAAATCATCTGGTCCCAAACACCTGCCAGGGGCCAGGGATGGCACTGGAGAGGGAAAATTTACATGGGATGCAGAGACAGGACAAGGGAGATTGGCTTCAAACTGAAAACCAGGAAATTTAGGTAGGATATAGGAGAAAAAAAGGTTAAATTTACAGCTCTGCCTGTGGAGGGACAGCAACCTGAAATCCCCCGAGCAGGGCTGTGATCAAACACCCTGCTCTGCCTTTTCCCCTCTGCCTCTGACGTCCTCCCCCACGAGTGCCAGGCAACCTCAGCTCCCTCCCTGTGCCAGCAGGAGCCCACAGCTTTCCCCTGAGTGGGAAAACTCGGCAGGTTCTTTATTTTTAGGCTCACCAAGCAAGGCAGAGCCGACCCCAAAACCTTCCCCGGAGCTCTGCTGAGGTAACAGAGCCGTGGGATGGGATGGGTTGGAAGAAAACTTAAAAATCATCTGGTCCCAAACACCTGCCAGGGATGGTACTGGAGAGGGAAAATTTACATGGGATGCAGAGACAGGACAAGGGAGATTGGCTTCAAACTGAAAACCAGGAAATTTAGGTAGGATATAGGAGAAAAAAAGGTTAAATTTACACAGGATGCAGATATAGGACAAGGGGGAACAGCTTCAAACTGAAAAACGGAAATTTAGGTGGGATATGGGGAAAAAAAGGGGAAAATTTACACGGGATGCAGAGACAGGACAAGGGAGATTGGCTTCAAACTGAAAACCAGGAAATTTAGGTGGGATATGGGGAAAAAAAGGGGAAAATTTACATGGGATGCAGAGACAGGATAAGGGGAATGGTTTCAAACTGAAACCCAAGAAACTGAGGTGGGATACGGGGAAAAAATTCCTCTCAGTGAGGGCAGGCAGGCCCTGGCACAGGGTGCCCAGAGAAGCTGTGGCTGCCCCTGGATCTCTGGAAATGCCCAAAGTAGTTTGGATAGAATTGGAAAAAACTGGGACAGCGGAATGGGGGCTGGAATTAGAAGGGGGCTGGCACAGGACTGGGGTCTCACGGGGCACAGAGGGGTCTCACAGGGCACAGAGGGGCTGCAGAGATGCGTGGCTGGCACAGGACCTGCTGTTTTGGGGGGTCTGGGGTCTCACAGGGCACACAGGAAGTGTGACTGACATAGGAGATGCTGCTCTGGGGGCTTTTTGGGGTCTCACAGGGCAGGGAGGGGCACCAGAGAAGCATGATTGGCACAGGACCTGCTGTTTAGGGGGGGGTTTGGGGTCTCACAGGGCATAGAGGGGCACCAGAAAAGCGTGGCTGGCACAGAACCCACTGCTCTGAGGGGTTTTTGGGGTCTCACAGGGCACAGAGGGGCAGCAGAGAAGCGTGCCTGGCACAGGACCTGCTGTTTTAGGGGCTTTGGTGTCTCACAGGGCACAGAGAAAGAATGGCTGGCACAGGACCCACTGCTCTGAGGGGTCTGGGGTCTCCCAGGGCACAGAGGGGCAGCAGGGAAGCACGGCTAGCAGAGAACCCACTGCTCTGAGGGGTTTTTGGGGTCTCACAGGGCACAGAGGGGCAGCAGAAAAGTGTGCCTGGCACAGAACCCCCTGCTCTGAGGGGTCTGGGCTCTCCCAGGGCACAGCAAGAGAAGCTCCCCTCGCTCCTTCCTCCCTTTCCCCCGCCCCACGGAGAAGCAGGACCAACCTACCGTCCTCACAGGGTCCCATCCTGGCCACCTCGATGCTCTTCTGCAGCTGGCACGAGGCCCCCTGCAGCTCGCAGGGGCTGTGGTAGGTGACGCCGTCGGTGCCGCACACCGGGGCCGGGGGCTGGCGCTCGCAGCGCGGGCACAGGCACTGCCCACCCACGCAGCGGCTGCCAAAGGAGCACACGGAGCTGCCACACGACTCTGGGGCACAGGGAGGGACACACTCAGCCACCCTGAGCGGCTCCCGTGGCCACCAGGGTTTTGTCACAGAGCTGGGAGCATCACCGTTATTAATTCGCTATTAATTCGTTATTAATTCGTTGTTGTTATTCCTTATTTAATCTGTGCAAACTGGGTGCCCACAGTGAGTATTTTGGATTCCCAGCAGCTCTTTCTGGAGGAAAAAAAATCTCATTTCATCATTTATTCTAGGAGGCAGCTGCCACCCTCAGCCATCCTCCCCCAAATTCTTGGGGAATCTCAGCCCAGCTGGACAGGTTTGCATGAGGCTCAAATCATCATTGCAGCTTTTGTAATAATAAAGGAGCCGAGCAGGGCTTTTAATTCATTAAGAAATTAGCCCAGACAGCTCCCCGAGCTGGGGAGTGGGGAGGAAAGCAGGAACAAAAAGGAATTGACCCCAGGGGATGGAGGGGAGGGAGAGGATCAAACACAGCTCTGCTCTCACTTCTGCTGCTGGCTGTTAACACATTTTTAGCCTAATTCCTGCCCCGGCCCCATGGACATTAATCCAATTTCTCTGCTTGGCTCAGACAAATAACACGGGGGGCACTTCCAGCGAGGGGGAAACCAAACCAAAGCTGCTGGAGAGCCTGGAAGTACCCAATTATCCCCCAGGTAAAAGGAAAAACCACTCAGGCGAGCGCCGCGCAAACACCGCGCCGCGCAAACACCGCGGAGCAGCGGCGACACGGGGGGCACAAAGGGGACAAAGGGGACGTTGTGGCACTCACTGCAGTGGCCCTGGGCAGCCACCAGGATGTTCTTCTGCTGGGTGCTGGCTGGCACAGAACCCACTGCTCTGAGGGGTTTTTGGGGTCTCACAGGGCACAGAGGGGCATGCTCTGAGGGGTCTGGGGTCTCCCAGGGCACAGAGGGGCAGCAGGGAAGCATGGCTGGCACAGAACCCACTGCTCTGAGGGGTTTTTGGGGTCTCACAGGGCACAGAGGGGCAGCAGAAAAGTGTGCCTGGCACAGAACCCCCTGCTCTGAGGGGTCTGGGCTCTCCCAGGGCACAGAGGGGCATGCTCTGAGGGGTCTGGGGTCTCCCAGGGCACAGAGGAGCACCAGAAAAGTGTGCCTGGCACAGAACCCCCTGCTCTGAGGGGTCTGGGGTCTCCCAGGGCACAGAGGAGCACCAGAAAAGTGTGCCTGGCACAGAACCCCCTGCTCTGAGGGGTCTGGGCTCTCCCAGGGCACAGCAAGAGAAGCTCCCCTCGCTCCTTCCTCCCTTTCCCCCGCCCCACGGAGAAGCAGGACCAACCTACCGTCCTCACAGGGTCCCATCCTGGCCACCTCGATGCTCTTCTGCAGCTGGCACGAGGCCACCTGCAGCTGGCAGGGGCTGTGGTAGGTGACGCCGTCGGTGCCGCACACCGGGGCCGGGGGCTGGCGCTCGCAGCGCGGGCACAGGCACTGCCCACCCACGCAGCGGCTGCCAAAGGAGCACACGGAGCTGCCACACGACTCTGGGGCACAGGGAGGGACACACTCAGCCACCCTGAGCGGCTCCCGTGGCCACCAGGGTTTTGTCACAGAGCTGGGAGCATCACCATTATTAATTCGCTATTAATTCGTTATTAATTCGTTGTTGTTATTCCTTATTTAATCTGTGCAAACTGGGTGCCCACACTGAGTATTTTGGATTCCCAGCAGCTCTTTCTGGAGGAAAAAAAATCTCATTTCATCATTTATTCTAGGAGGCAGCTGCCACCCTCAGCCATCCTCCCCCAAATTCTTGGGGAATCTCAGCCCAGCTGGACAGGTTTGCATGAGGCTCAAATCATCATTGCAGCTTTTGTAATAATAAAGGAGCCGAGCAGGGCTTTTAATTCATTAAGAAATTAGCCCAGACAGCTCCCCGAGCTGGGGAGTGGGGAGGAAAGCAGGAACAAAAAGGAATTGACCCCAGGGGATGGAGGGGAGGGAGAGGATCAAACACAGCTCTGCTCTCACTTCTGCTGCTGGCTGTTAACACATTTTTAGCCTAATTCCTGCCCCGGCCCCATGGACATTAATCCAATTTCTCTGCTTGGCTCAGACAAATAACACGGGGGGCACTTCCAGCGAGGGGGAAACCAAACCAAAGCTGCTGGAGAGCCTGGAAGTACCCAATTATCCCCCAGGTAAAAGGAAAAACCACTCAGGCGAGCGCCGCGCAAACACCGCGCCGCGCAAACACCGCGGAGCAGCGGCGACACGGGGGGCACAAAGGGGACAAAGGGGACGTTGTGGCACTCACTGCAGTGGCCCTGGGCAGCCACCAGGATGTTCTTCTGCTGGGTGCAGGCTCGGACGTGCAGCTCGCACTCGCTGCCGTAGGTGTTGCCGTCGGTGCCGCAGACGGGCTGCGCCGAGGGCACGCACTCGGTGGGGCACACGCAGCGCCCGCTCTCCGCCTCGCAGATGGCACCGAACTGGCACTTCCCGCAGCGCTCTGCAGGGCAAGGGCAGAGCTCCGCGTCAGAGCAGAGCCGGAGGCGCTGCTGGATCGCTTGGGGTGGCATGGGCTGAGGTAAAGCTCGTCTTTGAGGGCTCTTCAAGCGGGGCGCTTCCAGGGATGAGGCAGGCACAGATTGACTGATAACCTCCCCACTTATCTCTTATTAAATACATATTATTAGGAAATATTATTATATTGCATTATTATGACATTATTATATTTTATTGTATTTATATATAAATTGTCTGGGTTGGAGGTAAAGCTCATTTTTGAGGGCTGTTCAACCTGGGTGCTTCCAGGGATGAGGCAGGCTTTGTCTGGGCAACCCCACTATCTGTTATTAAATACCTATTATTAGAAAATATGATTATATTTTATTATATTATATTAGAATATGATTATATTTTTATTATATTATATTAGAATATTATTATATTTTATTATATTTATATATAAGTGGTCTGGGTTGGAGGTAAAGCTCATTTCTGAGGGACAGCTTCTGCTCTTCAACCCAGGTGCTTGCAAGGATGAAGCAGGCAGATTGTCTGGCAACCTCCCCACTTGTCTGTTATTAAACACCTATTATTAGGCATTAGTAGGAAATATTACTATATTAGGTAATATATGCTATTACTATATTTTTCTACATTTATATTTTTATATCGGTATTTATATAATATTATTATATTTTTCCTTATTTTTAGGAAATATTTACAATAGAGACTTGAAAAGATAAAGACCTTGTTGAGCCTCTAAAAGGTTTTGGCTTTTCTATTTTTCAGATTCTGCACTGATGCCTCAGGTTTTATCTTTTCTAATTTTCTAGATTCCGTGCTGCTTTCCTGTGTAGTTCTGAGCTTCACATTAAAGTTCATATTAGGTTTTTTCTGGGAGCACAGAAAAACCTTGATTTTGTAAAAAAAAAAAAAACAAAAACGCCTCTCCAAGCAGCTCTCCCTCCTGGCAGGAGACAGCAGCAAGCACATCCCCTGACTCCTGGGTATTCACTGATTCATCCTCTCCTCCCAACACCTCCCCTCCCTCCCTGCCAGTCATTTCAGCAGGAATTTGGCTCCAAGGTGCTTTTCCTGCTTTTCTCTTGCACACAGCAGCTGCTGCCTTGGCATGGGGGAGGAAGAGGCACCAACCCCCTGCTCGGCTCCTGCTGCTGGCCTGGAGGTTTTTATCCTGGTCTGGAGGTTTTTATCCTGGTTTTTATCCTGGACTGGTGGTCTTTATCCTGGTCTGGTGGTTTTTATCCTGGTTTTTATCCTGGCCTGGTGGTTTTTATCCTGGTTTTTATTCTGGTCTGGAGGTTTTTTATCCTGGTCTGGTGGTTTTTATCCTGGTTTTTATCCTGGCCTGGTGGTTTTTATCCTGGTTTTTATCCTGGACTGGTGTTTTTTATCCTGGTTTTTATCCTGGACTGGTGTTTTTAATCCTGGCCTGGAGGTTTTTATTCCAACCAGGAGGTTTTTATCCCAACCAGGTTTTTATCCCAGTCTGGATGTTTTCATCCCGGCCTGGAGGTTTTTCTTTTAACAACCACAAAATAAGCCCCCTGCCCAAATCTCATCACATCCTTTGTCCTTCACCCTGGTGTCCCTTATGAGGACAAAGGCCAACAACAACAACAAAACCAAAACAACAATCCCAGCCCAAATCCCACCACAGGGCCCCCTTGTGCTTGACCCTGGTGTCCCTCTGAAGGACACGGGCCAACAAGAACAACAAAACAACAACAACAAGACAACAACAAACCCCAAATCTCACCACAGGGCCCCTTGTCCCTGACCATGATGTCCCTTTGAGGACACAACTAACATGACCACAATCCCAGCCCAAATCTCACATCAGGGCCCCTTGTTTTCACCCTGATGTCCCTTTGAGGACACAGCTACCACCACCACCCCCAAGCCTGACCGTGTCTCACCGCAGGGCCCCTTGTCCCTGACCCCAATGTCCCTTTTGAGGACACAGTGACACCCCAGCCTCATGTCTCACCACAAGGCCCCTTGTCCCTGACCCCAGTGTCCCTTTTGAGGACACAGCCACCCCCCAGCCCCGTGTCTCACCGCAGGGCCCCTTGTCCCTGACCCAACGTCCCTTTTGAGGACACAGCCACCACCAGCACAATCCCAGCCCAAATCTCACCACAAGGCCCCTTGTCCTTCACCCTGCTGTCCCTTTGAGGACACAGCCACCACCAGCACAATCCCAGCCCCCTGTCTCACCACAAGGCCCCTTGTCCTTCACCCTGCTGTCCCTTTGAGGACACAGCCACCACCACCACCACCCCTCAACCCAGCCATGTCTCACCCTGACCCCAATGTCCCTTTCAAGGACACAGCGACAGTCCAGCCTCATGTCTCACCACAGGGCCCCTTGTCCCTGACCCCAACGTCCCTTTTAAGGACACAGCCCTCCCAATCCAGCCACCACTCACCCTGACCCCAACGTCCCTTTTAAGGACACAGCCCTCCCAATCCAGCCACCACTCACCCTGACCCCAACGTCCCTTTTAAGGACACAGCCCTCCCAATCCAGCCACCACTCACCCTGACCCCAACGTCCCTTTTAAGGACACAGCCCTCCCAATCCAGCCACCACTCACCCTGACCCCAACGTCCCTTTTAAGGACACAGCCCTCCCAATCCAGCCACCACTCACCCTGACCCCAACGTCCCTTTTAAGGACACAGCCCTCCCAATCCAGCCACCACTCACCCTGACCCCAACGTCCCTTTTAAGGACACAGCCCTCCCAATCCAGCCACCACTCACCCTGACCCCAACGTCCCTTTTAAGGACACAGCCCTCCCAATCCAGCCACCACTCACCCTGACCCCAACGTCCCTTTTAAGGACACAGCCCTCCCAATCCAGCCACCACTCACCCTGACCCCAACGTCCCTTTTAAGGACACAGCCCTCCCAATCCAGCCACCACTCACCCTGACCCCAACGTCCCTTTTAAGGACACAGCCCTCCCAATCCAGCCCCGTCTCACCGCAGGGCCCCTTGTCCCTTACCCCAAAGTCCCTTTTGAGGACACAGCCCTCCCAATCCAGCCATGTCTCACCCTGACCCCAGTGTCCCTTTTGAGGACACAGCCCTCCCAATCCAGCCATGTCTCACCCTGACCCCAGTGTCCCTTCTGAGGACACAGCCCTCCCAATCCAGCCCCGTCTCACCGCAGGGCCCCTTGTGGCGCAGGCCGATGTCCCTCTGCAGCAGGCAGGCCATGGCGTGCAGCTCGCAGGGGTTGCCGTAGGTGCGCTGGTCGGTGCCGCACACGGGGTCGTAGCGGCCCTGGCACTGCTGCTGGCACTCGCACACGGCCTCCTGGTTCTTCACCACGCACGTGGCCCCGAAGGAGCACTCCACGCTCAGGCAGGGGCTGGGCGCGCCCAGGTCTGCGGAGGGGACAGGGACAGGCGCGGGCGGCTCGGGTGGGCGCTGGCACGGAGCGGGGCAGGACGTGCCAGCGTCCCGCGGGGCGCTGCCCGCCCCGAGCTGGGCTGAACGAGCTGCTGGGCTCTGTGCCCTCCGTGCCAGCCCGCCATGCCCGGCTCGGCACGGCCCCGTGCGCGGCAGAGGTGAGGGATGGGCAGCAGGCACGGGAACAGGACTGCCACCTTGTCCCCTGCCCACACACGGGAGCAGCAGCAGCACTGGCAGAACCTTCCACAGGGCTCCCACAGGGAGGGCTCCCTTCCCTGGGATCCACATCATCAGGATCACACTGCTCCCCAGAAAGCTCCCTTCCCTGGGATCCACACTGCTCCATGAAAAGCTCCTTTCCCTGAGACCCACACCATCAGGATCACACTGCTCCCTGGAAAGCTCCTTTCCCTGGGATCTACACTGCTCCATCAAAACTCCCTTCCCTGAGATCCACATCATCAGGATCACACTGCTCCCCAAAAAGCTCCCTTCCCTGGGATCCACACTGCTCCCCAAAAAGCCCCTGGTGCTCCCCAGGAGGAGCTGGCTGGGGAGGACACGCCTGGCTCCACCATGTCGCTCATCCCCCACCCCATCCTCCTCCCTCCTCTTCCCAGGGAGCTGCTGTGGGGCAGGATGGGGACATCCCGTGGCCTTCCCTCAACCCAGGGTTGGGAATTCCCTCTGGATGTCCAGCCCCAGCCCAGCAGTGGCACCTCCCCTGGGGGGTGCCCAGCGGTGACAAAGTGCCAGCAGCGAGCAGAGGCCATGTCCCACTCCCTGCTGGCAGGGACATCCCATTCTCCCAACCAAGAATGCACCCAGGAGCTGAGGAACGAGTGGCCATGCTGCTGGGGACAGGGCCAGCACTGCCCAGTGACCCTCTGGGACAAGGAAAGGACACCACGGGTTTCACCCGTGCTGGACAGTGACAAGGACACAGGACAAGGACACAGGTGGGGACAGACAATGCAGCCTGGAGGAGATGGAGCAAGAGCAGACACAGCACAGCCCTGGCAGCGAGGCAGAGCTGGGGAAGGTCCCTCTGCAGTGGCCCTGGGCACCTCCCCTGCCACCAGCACAGCGGTGGCACCTCTGTGGCACTCCTGTGCCAGGCAGCCAGGAAGGGCCTGGATCAGGATCCACCTACCTAGTCCCAGCCTAGAGCCAAGGGTCTGCAAAGGAGCAGGGGAGGGGACAGCTCAGGCACAAGGACACAGCTCTGTCCCCAGCTTCAGCTCAGGCACAAGGACACAGCTCTATCCCAAACTTCAGGCACAAAGACACAGCTCTGCCCCAAACTTCAGGCACAAGGACACAGCTCTGTCCCCAACTTCAGGCACAAGGACACAGCTCTGTCCCCAACTTCTCTGCAGCTCTGAGCACTTCCCAAGGACCAGGAATTGCTCCCTGGGGTGCTGCCCCCATGTTTGTTTCCTTTTTTTGTCCCATAACCCCGTCCCCCCCACAGAAACGCTGATTCCACTGGGAAATACTCCCAGGGAAGAGCCAATTCCGAGCAGAAGCAGCTCCTCTGAGCCTGGCAGAGAGAGCTGGGAGCCCTGGGGAGCTCCTGTCCCTGGGCTAGGACAGGGGACAAGCAGGACACACAGCACAGCTGGGGCAGCACAGCTGGGGCAGCACAGCTGGGGCAGCGCTCCGGGAAGGAGGAGCTGGGGGAAGCCAGGGTGGGTTAGTTGGGAGCAGAAGGAGAGGGAAAAATCAACCAGGAGCAGTCCAGAGTGATGCAGCAGCCCGGGGGGGGCTGGCTGAGGAGCGGGGGGCTCCAGCACCCACCTCTGCTCCCACTCTCCTTTGCCTGGAGGGCACAGCGAGCATCGGGCAAGAGCAATTTCCACTCCAGCAGGGTTTGGGGCCAGGGATGGGACAAACCCCAGGGCAAGCTCTCCATCCTGGGGGGCTCTCAGGCCAAGCCAGAGACAGGTGGGAGCAGTGAGAGGAGCCAGGAGAGGCCCTGGCCACGGAGGAGGGACAGAGGCGAGCTCCCAGCAGAGGTGTCCGGGCAGGGAGCAGGAGGGTGCCAGGACAGAATTCCTTCCTCCACACAGGCAACACTGTAAAACACAAGACACAGACGAAACAGGAAAGAGAGAGAGAGAGAAAGAGAGGACAGCAGAGAGAGGAAAAGACAGATGCAGCTACAGACACCTTCCTTCCTTCTTTCCTTCACTCCTGGCCAGGTCAGCCTCATCCCATCCCTTCTTTCTCAGCTGCAGCACCCAGAAGGATTCAAACCAAGAAATTTGATGATGAATGCTTATAAAGAATTATTATTTTACCAACTGAAATTGCAAAACTTGTTTTTGAATGAGGACCTGAGCTGAAAACAAACAAACAAACAAACAAAACAAGCAAGCTCTTAACAGCCAGCTGCAAAATAGAAATTCCTGTGTGATGTATTTTTCAATTGTTCTTCTAATCACTTTCTTCTCTTTTTCTGGCTTGGATGGTTTTGTTTGGCTTTGCCTCCCTGGCCTGGCTGCTGGAAGAGGCAGGAGAGCTCAGGGTTTGTCAGGCAGGTGCTTGTGAGGGGTTAAAATGCTGCCAAGCCCTTCCCCAGCTCTGCATTCCCACAGCTCCCAGGCAGGGATGAGCTCCCCAGCTCTGAGCTCAGAGCTCTTCCTTCTCCTCTCCAGAGCTGACAGGGCTAAAAAAATCTGCTCACACCTCCTGGGGATGGGCTCCAGGACTGCCTGGAGCTGTCACAGGCACTCTGCAACCCCAGTTTTGGCAGACAGAGCCCTGGTTTTGATTCATTCCCCCGTTTCTTGCTCCTGTCCCACCAGGATGCAGCTCCTGAAAGCAGATGTGTGCTGGGCAGGAGGGAGGGGAGCTGGGAGGGAGCTGAAATCCAGGAGAGGGAGGTGGAGAGAGGAATGGCAGGTGCACCAGGACCCCATCCTGCTGCTCCTGGCCTTTTTCCACGGAACACGGTGGAAATGAGGCGTGGCTGATGCTCAGAGCAGCGTGAATTCCCCGCTCATCCCAGAAATTTGGGAATTTGCAGCCTCTCAAGGAGGCACAGGGGAAGGTTTGAAGAGAGCCCAGGGAGCCAAGGCTGCAAAAAATCCCCCCACCATGGGATCACAGCCCTTCCCACAGGGAAAACTTGGGGAATTTACTCCCAGCCATTCCCCCACCAGGAACACAGAGAAATGGATGCTTAAAAATAACAGCTGTGATTATTCTGAGTGGGATTTTGGGAGCCTGACAAATTCTTTTCCAGCAGCTGGGTCTGGCAGCCTCGAAAGCCTCCAGCAGGAGCACAAAGCCAACAAAACACATCCCCAGCGTGGGATTCTGATTGCCAAGCACTTCAGGAGGCTCAACCCAGCTGATACCTGATCAAACATCAGCTTAAAAGAACAGGATAGCAGTTCCAGAGGTGGGAAAAACCCAAAGTGAGCCGAAATGAACAACTTGTAACTCATCCAAATCAGTGCAGGGGCTGCTTTAACCTCCTTCACTCCCCGGGGGAGATCCTTACACCTGGGCACTGCCAGCATCCTAAGGATCCAAAGCCCCATCCTATCCCATCCTCCTGAGAAAGGTCCATTGGGGAGCTTCTCCTAGAGACGAGACAAAGACACGGTGAGAGCTCCAGACAGGGCACAGAGGGAAGAGTTCCCGACGGAGAGAAGCAGGCAGGCATGGAAAGGAGAGCATGGAAGGGGTTTGGAGACTGGCACTACCCCGGGAGGAGCAATGGATGGGCATGGATTGAAGGCAACGTGGTGGGGAGGGACAGAAAGCAGCAGGAGGTCACAGACACTTGGTTGGAACACGGATGGGTGTCCCCTGTGTCACACAGCAGACAGAGACGGGAGCAGGACAGCGAGACGTGCACACAGCAGGGCTGCTGGAAGGACAGAAACACGGGACAGGGACGTTCCAGGAGCTGCACTCCAGGCTGAGCCCCCCTTGCTCGGTGGGCATCCACTGCAGCCTCTCAGCATGCCACCCTGCCTGGAGCAGCTGGGGAGGGCCAGGGGTGGGTGGGGGATCGGCATTCCCACAGGAGAGAGGAGACCAGCATCCCACTGGGTCAGCAGCCCAGTTTGGGGACTGACACATCCACGGGGCAATCTGGGGTCCAGCATCCCCATGGGACGGCAGCCCTGTGGGACAGGGGGGAACCAGAATCCCTGTGGGATGAGGGGTACCAGCATCCCCACGGGACAGGAGGGACCAGAATCCCTGCAGGATAATTTGGGGACCAACATCCCTATGGGACAGGTGGGACCAGCATCCCCATGGGACGGCAGCCCTGTGGGACAGGGGGGAACCAGAATCCCTGTGGGATGAGGGGTACCAGCATCCCCACGGGATGATCTGGGGACCAGCATCCCCATAGGACAGCATCCCCATAGGACAATTTCGGGACCACCATCCCTACAGAACAGGAGGGACCAACATCCCCACAGGACAGCTTCCCTGTGGGACAATTTGGGGTCTGACATCCCTTGCAGGACGACTTGGAGACCACCACCCCTACAGGACAACTTGGGGACCACCATCCCTGTGGGACAACTTGGGACCCACCACCCCCACATGACACCACCCCTGCAGGACAACTTGGGACCCAACACCCCTACATGACACCAACCCTACAGGACAACTTGAGGACCACCACCCCCATGGTACAATTTGAGGACCACCATCCCTGTAGGACAACTTGGGACCCACCGCCCTTACAGAACAGCATCCCTACAGGACAACTTGGGGACCACCACCCCCACATGACACCATCCCCGCAGGACAATTTGGGGACCACAACCCCTGCGGGACAACTTGGAGACCACCACCCCTACATGACACCATCCCTGTGGGACAACTTGGGACCCGCCATCCCTGCGGGACAACTTGGGACCCGCCATCCCTACATGACACCAACCCCAGAGAACAACTTGGGGCCCACCATCCCTACATGATAGCATCCCCACAGGACAATTTGGGGACCACCACCCCTACATGACACCATCCCTGTGAGACAACTTGGAGACCACCACCCCTCCATGACACCATCCCCACAGGACAATTTGGGGCCCACCACCCCTACAAGACACCATCCCCGCGGGACAATTTGGGGATCACCATTCCTGCGGGACAACTTGGAGACCACCATCCCTACATGACACCATCCCTGTGAGACAACTTGGAGACCACCACCCCTCCATGACACCATCCCCACAGAACAACTTGGGGACCACCATCCCTGCGGGACAACTTGGGGCCCACCACCCCTACATGACACCATCCCCACAGAACAACTTGGGGCCCACCACCCCTCCATGACACCATCCCCACAGGACAATTTGGGGACCACCACCCCTGCGGAACAACCTGGGGCCCAGCACGCCCGCGGAGCCCCCGTGGCGGCGCTCACCGCAGGGCCCGCTGTGGCGGGCGGGGATGTGCTGCTGCTGCAGGCACTCGGCGCGGCGCCGCTGGCAGTCGCTGCCGTAGGTGCGGCTGTCGCGGCCGCACAGGGGCCGGAAGGCGCCGTCGCAGGCGATGCGCTCGCAGGAGCAGCGCGCGGCCCCGCGCCGGTTCAGGCACACCGCGTTGAACTTGCACTCCTCCTTGCACTGGTCTGCGGGGGGACAGGGCACAGGGGCTCACGGCCAGCACCGCGGCATGCTTCACTGGGTTTGTGCATGGTTTTGTGGTTTTTTTAAAAATATTTTAGTGGGTTTTATTTGTATTTTTCAGGTTCTGTACGATGCTTTAAGTTTTAACTTTTGTTTTTCGGGTTCTGTACTGATGCTTTGAGTTTTAACTTCTTTTTTTTCAGGTTCTGTACAGATCCGTCAAATTTTATGTTTTTCAAGTTCTGCACTGATGTTTGAAGCTTTAACTTTTATATTTTTCAGGTTCTGTACAGATGCTTCAAATTTTAACTTTTGTGTTTTTCAGCTTCTGTACTGATGCTTTAAGTTTTAACTTTTCTATTTTTCAGGTTCTATACAGCTGCTTTAAGCTTTAACTTTCATATTTTTCAGGTTCTGTATTGACGCCTTAAGTTTTAACTTCTATATTTTTCAGGTTCTGTACAGATGCTTTAGGTTTTAACTTTCATTTTTTTCAGGTTCTGTACAGTTGCCTTTAGTTTTTTATATTAATATATAGTGTAATTATATTAATTATACATAATACATAGTATACTTAATTATACATGATAATTATGCATTATCTATTTATATGTTATATATAATACATTATATATATAATATATTATATATATGTATCTATATAATGTATTATATAATACATTATATAATACACCATATATTTTATATTTCTGTATTTTAATATTTCTATATTTTGTATTATAATATAGTTATTTCTATAGATTTCGTTTATATAATATATTATATAATTAGTGTATTGTATAAGATGTATTTTTGTATTCATATATATTATAATTGCATATTAGTATATTTAATTTCTATTATAGTATATGGAGGATGAGGATGAGGAGGGGCACTCACCCTGCGGCTGGCACTGCCCCGAGCGCACCTTCTGGATGTCCATGCCCCGGATGGCCCCGGAGCGCGCCATGGCGCACTCGCTGTCGTAGGTGACGCCGTCGTCGCCGCACACCGGGTCCCTGCCCGGGGGACAGCCCTCGGGCCGGGGCAGCAGCTCCGCCCGCCGCGTCCGCGGGTTCACCCGGCACACGCGGCTCGGCTCGCTCGGCACGGCCTGGCACGGGTCTGGGCAGCGACGCGGGGCAGGAGTCACCCGCTGCCCTCTGGCACGGTCACTCCCTGCCCAAGGTCACCCGCTGCCCTCTGGCACGGTCACTCCCTGCCCAAGGTCACCCGCTGCCCTCTGGCACGGTCACTCCCTGCCCCGGGTCACCCCCTGCCCTCTGGCATGGTCACTCCCTGCCCCGGGTCACCCCCTGCCCTCTGCCACAGTCACCCCCTGCCCTCTGGCACGGTCACTCCCTGCCCAAGGTCACCCCCTGCCCTCTGGCACGGTCACTCCCTGCCCAAGGTCACCCGCTGCCCAGACCAGGCATCTGCTCCATCCCTGCCCAGCCCCAAGAGCCCCCAAATCTTCTTTGTGCCCCATGGAGTCACTCCCTGCCCTCTGGCACCATCAATCCCTGCCCAAACTGGGGCTTCCCAGGCTCTGCTCCATCCCTGCACAGCCCCAAGAGCCCCCAAATCTTCCACTGTGTCCCAAGGAGTCACTCCCTCCCTAAATCAGGGCTCCCCAGGCTCTGCTCCATCCCTGCATGGTCCCAAGAACCCCCAAATATTCCTTTGTGTCCCAAGGTCACTCCTTGCCCAAACTGGGGCTTCCCAAGCTCTGCTCCATCCCTGCCTGGTCCCAAGAACCCCCAAATCTTCTTTATGTCCCAAGGAGTCACTCCCTGTCCTCTGGCATGGTCACTCCCTGCCCAAACCAGGACCTCCCAGGTTCTGCTCCTTCCATTTGGGGTCCCCAAGAACCCCCAGATTTTCTTTGTGTCCCAAGGAGTCACTCCCTGTCCTCTGGCACGGTTGCTCCCTGCCCAAGGTCACTCCCTGCCCAAATTGGGCTTCCCAGGTTCTGCTCTGTCCCTGCACAGCACCAAGAGTCCCCCCAAATCTTTGCACCTCACGGAGTCACTCCCTGCCCAAACCGGGGCTTCCAGGCTCTGCTCCATCCCTGCATTACCCCAAGAGCCCCCAAATCTTCTTTATGTCCCAAGGAGTCACTCCCTGTCCTCTGGCATGGTCACTCTATGACCAAACCAGGACCTCCCAGGTTCTGCTCCTTCCATTTGGGGTCCCCAAGAACCCCCAGATTTTCTTTGTGTCCCAAGGAGTCACTCCCTGCCCAAACCGGGGCTCCCCAGGTTCTGCTCCATCCCTGCCTGGTCCCAAGAGCCCCCAAATCTTTGTGCCCCACGGAGTCACTGCCAGCCCTGTGGCACGCTCACTCCCTGCCCAGATGGAGCCCTCCTCACCGCAGGGGCCATCGAACTTCTTGAAGACGTTCTCCTGCTTGTCACAGGCGTGCTTGTTGAGGTGGCACTGGCTGCGGTAGTCGCGGCCGTCGCTGCCGCACACGGGGCTCTCGGGGACGCCGCTGCACGACGAGGGACACACGCACTTGGCCACCTGGCCGTCAGGGGAGGGGACGCAGGTGCTGCCAAAGCTGCAGGTCACCTCTGCACAGGGGTCCTTGGAGCCTGAGGGACAGAGAGGGGACACGGGTGAGAGCACGGCACGGGTGGGAGCACGGCACGGGTGACAGCATGGCATGGGTGACAGCATGGCATGTGATGTCCTGTTCCTCTCATGGAATAACCCAAATCTATCCCAATACCCCCCAAATCCACCCCTCTAAAAGCCCCAATCCAGCAGCACTGGGTAATTTTCCACAGCTTCAGTGGATCCTTGGAGCCTGAGGAGAGGAGGGGACACGGGTGAGAGCATGGCATGGGATGTCCTGTTCCTCTCATGGAATAACCCAAATCCATCCCTCCCAATGCCCCAATCCAGCAATAATGGACAATTTTCCATCGCTTTTCCTCCTCACAGTTTGCTGACCCCCAAAGCAGAGCTTTGGGGGGGTCCCTTCCCAGCCTTTGGTGTCCCTGGCCCAGCCTGCGGCCATCATTTCTCCATCATTTTCCCACCATTCCTTCACCATTTCCCCATCATTTCTCCACCATTTTCCCACCATTTCTCCTCCTTATCACTCTCTGCTGACCCCCAAAGCAGCGCTGATGATCCCCAGAGTTCCCCCAGCGCTGTCCCCACCCCTCCAGCCACGCCCCGAGGTGTCCCTGCTGGCCTTGGGGACACGCCAGCGTCCCTCACTCACCGCAGGGTCCCTTGCTGACCACCTTGATCCTCCTCTGCTGGTTGCACTGGGCCCTGTCCAGCTCGCACTCGTTGCTGTAGGTGGAGTGGTCGGAGCCGCACACCGGGGCCACCACGGGGGCACAGGGACCCTTCCTGCACACGCACGAGGCCTGGCCCGGCTCCGAGGGGCTGCGCTCGCACACGGCCCCGAAGCCACAGAGCATGCCCCGGCACCCTGCGGGCACAGGGACATCCCAATGGGCACAGGGACATCCCATGGGCACAGGGACATCCCATGGGCACAGGGACATCCCATGGGCACAGGGACATCCCATGGGCACAGGGACATCCCATGGGCACAGGGACATCCCATGGGCACAGGGACATCCCATGGGCACAGGGACATCCCATGGGCACAGGGACATCCCATGGGCACAGGGACATCCCATGGGCACAGGGACATCCCATGGGCACAGGGACATCCCATGGGCACAGGGACATCCCATGGGCACAGGGACATCCCATGGGCACAGGGACATCCCATGGGCACAGGGACATCCCATGGGCACAGGGACATCCCATGGGCACAGGGACATCCCATGGGCACAGGGACATCCCATGGGCACAGGGACACCCCATGGGCACGGGGACATCCCATGGGTACAGGGACACACAGAGCCACAGAGCATGCCCCGGCACCCTGCGGGCACAGAGACATCCCAATGGGCACAGGGACATGTGTGGGCACAAGGACACACGGCCCCGAAGCCACAGAGCATGCCCCGGCACCCTGCGGGCACAGGGACACGTGTGGGCACAGGGACATCCCATGGGCACAGGGACATCCCATGGGCACGGGGACATCCCATGGGCACAGGGACATCCCAATGGGCACGGGGACATCCCAATGGGCACGGGGACATCCCATGGGCACGGGGACATCCCATGGGTACAGGGACACACAGAGCCACAGAGCATGCCCCGGCACCCTGCGGGCACAGAGACATCCCAATGGGCACAGGGACATGTGTGGGCACAAGGACATGGGCACAGGGACACACAGAGCATGCCCCGGCACCCTGCGGGCACAGGGACACGTGTGGGCACAGGGACATCCCATGGGCACAGGGACATCCCTTGGGTACAGGGACACATGGCCCTGAAGCCACAGAGCATCCCCTGGCACCCTGCGGGCACAGAGACACCCCAATGGGCACGGGGACACACTCATGGGGGTCACCAAACCCACACAGCATCCCACAGCACCCTGCGGGCACAGGGACATCCCATGGGCACAGGGACACACAGGGGACATGGGGACACACACACAGGGGGCCTCAAACCTTTCCCTAAAATCCAATTTCCCCCTTCCCTGGGACAGCTCCACCCATTCCTTGAGGTGCTCCCTGCCCCAGTGCCCCCCAGTGCCCCCTCCCAGGGCACCCCACACGTCAGAACCACAGAATGAGGGAAAAGAGGAATCCCAAAATCCAACCCCTCATTTACACTTCAATTCCCAGGCGTTTGCCTTTGACTGCCTGGAGACTCTGGAGCTGCAAACCCAGCACCAGATAAATCCCAGGAAATCAAAAGGAAAAGGATTCTCCTTCTCTCCCACCCCAGCACGAGATAAATCCCATAAATCCCAGGAAATCAAAAGGAAAAGGACTCTCCTCCTCTCCCACCCCAGCACGAGATAAATCCCATAAATCCCAGGAAATCAAAAGGAAAAGGATTCTCCTCCTCTCCCGCCGGTATCTAAAGGGATTCATCGTTTTTCTGAAGAGTCTGAGTCTCTCCTGCACTTCCCAGCGCTGCTCTTTCCCTTTCTTTGGGGTTTTTTAAAATGCAGATGAGGTGTAAAAAATGGGAATTGTGGGATTCATCGCCAGGGAAGGGGATGGGGAGTGGGAACAGAGCTGGGGAGCAGCGCCAGGGGAGATGGGGCTGGCTTGGAGGGGAAGGGAAAAGGGAGGAAAAAGGGAAAAAATGGGGGAGAAGGGGCAGGAAAAAAAGGAGGGGGAAAGGAGGGGAAAAAAGGTAGGAAAAAAAGCAGGAAAAAAGCAGGATGGGGGCGGGGGAAAGGTGGGAAAAAGGCAGAGGAAAAGGCAAGGGAAAAAAGGTGGGAAAAAAGGGTAGAAAGGCAGGAAAAAATACAGAGAAAAAGGGGGAAAATGAAGATCAAAAATGGGGGGAAAGAGGATAAAAAAGGAGAAAAAAAGGCAATCCATGGAATAAGCAGCGCCAGGCCCTCCTCATCCTCCCTGGAAAGAATTCCTTCCCAAGCTCCCATCGAAACCTCCTTTTTCAGTTTGGAACTCCCAGCCAGGCCACTTCCCGAGCTCCTAATTAGCCCGGCTTCGTTAGCAGGGCAGGCCTGGCAGGCGGGGGCTCGGCAGGGGCTGCCGGGGCAGATGGCCCCAGCCCCACCTCCCCGTGCCCAGCGGTGCCCGCGGGGCTCCAGGGGCTGCAGGGACAGCTGGCACGGGGAGGGGAGGGCAGGGCCAGCCCGGGAGGGGCCACCAGGCAACGGGGAATGGCCACCAGCCAGCCGGGAATGCCACCAGCCACTTGGGAATGGCCACCAGACACCTGGGAATGATCACCAGCCACTTGGGAATGGCCACCAGACACCTGGGAGTGGCCACCAGCCACTTGGGAATGGTCACCAGCCAGCCAGAAGTGGCCACCAGCCACTTGGGAATGGCCACTAGCCAATTGGGAATGGTCACCAGCCACCCACGAGTGGTCACCAGCCACCTGGGAGTGGCCACCAGGCAGCCAGGAATGGTCACCAGCCACCTGGGAGTGGCCACCAGGCAGCCAGGAATGGTCACCAGCCACTTGGGAATGGTCATCAACCAGCCAGGAATGGCCACCAGCCACCTGGGAATGGTCATCAACCAGCCAGGAATGGCCACCAGGCACCTGGGAATGGCCACCAGCCACTTGGGAGTGGCCACCAGGCACCTGGGAATGGCCACCAGCCACCTGGGAATGGTCATCAACCAGCCAGGAATGGCCACCAGGCAGCCAGGAATGGTCACCAGCCACCCACAAGTGGTCACCAGACCCCTGGGAGTGGCCACCAGGCACCTGGGAATGGCCACCAGGCAGCCACGGGCTCTGCTCTGCACAGGGATGGAGGAGCCTTGACCCAGGGATTAAAACCAGCCAGGAAAACGCTGGAATTGCAGGGAATGCCAACAGGGAGCAGCCCTGGGATGCCAAGGGAGGAGCTGGGCTGCACCCACCCACGGCCATGTCCAGGGGCTCCTGAGACACAGAGTTGATTCTTAATTTAAAGTAAAAATCTATTTCGGATTTAAATGAAGAATGGAATTATTCCCATTCATTTAAAGGAAATGGTTTAAATTATTTAATGTGCAGTTTACTCACACAGATGAAATATTGTTGTTTTAATCTGTTAGATTCACTGTACTCAAAAAAGTTTATATTGGGAAAAAACCCAAAAACTTGTGCCCAAAAGGGGCAGCGGGAATGGCAGGGCTGGGCATTAATTAATTCGGGGTGGGCATTAATTCGGGCTGGGGCACTAATAATTCGGGCTGGGCATTAATTAATTCGGGGGGGGGACATTAATTAATTCCGCCTGAGCGAGGTGCCCGTTGCCATGGAGAGCGGCTGGGCTGGCGGCTCCTGTCCCCCAGCCCAGCCCTGCTCATCAATATTCAAATATTTGGCCCCGCCCATCAATATTTAAATATTCAGCCCTGCTCATCAATATTCAAATATTTGGTCCCGCCCAGCAATATTTAAATATTCAGCCCTGCTCATCAATATTCAAATATTTGGCCCCGCCCATCAATATTTAAATATTCAGCCCTGCTCATCAATATTCAAATATTCATCGCATCACGCGGGGTGGGCAGCGAGGAGGAGCCGCCCAACCCCGCTGCCACCTCTGGGGCAGGGGGCTTCCTGAGCTCTGGCTTTGCTAGGCTGGACACTGACCCTGCCTGGCTTTGTTAGGCTGGACACTGACCCTGTCCGGCTTTGTTAGGCTGGACAGTGACCCTGCCTGGCTTTGCTAGGCTGGACAGTGACCCTGCCTGGCTTTGCTAGGCTGGACAGTGACCCTGCCCGGCTTTGGGAGGGGAAGGGACCTCCCCAAACCTCCAGGTTTACCCAACCCTTTATCCCCCCGGCTCCTCACCCAAAGCCCCGCGTTCCCCCAGCCCAAACCCTGTCCCAAAGCACACCAAACCCATCCCCTCCCCCAGCAGGGACCCCCTCCCCGTGTGCCCTGGCCCCCAAAAACACCTCCTGCCCCCCACAGCAGGAGTTCCCTCCCCAGGACCCCCCGAAACGGGCACTTTTCCATCTGCAGAGGGATCTTTTGGAAGTCTGGCATCTGGCTGGGCTGGGCTGTTGGTGTTTTGGAGCCCTGAGCCAGCAGTTCCACCCACGTGGGGGTTTATTTTTCGCTCGAGATGCCTTTCCCCGGGCTAATTATAGATTAATCACATTTTATCTCACGTCCTTTTCTCCCCCCACCCCCAGCAGGGGAGGTAAAAATTGGGAAAAAAAGAAAAAAAAAAAAAAAAGGCAAGGAGCAGGTTGTTAATTGGCTGCTGGTTTTTTGTTTGCTGGGCTCTTATCTGTGCACCTGAAGGTGGGGGAAGAGCCTGCCAGCAAAGGCAGGGGTTTTAAGCCTGGTTTTAAAAGGGAACAAAGCTCCTGTGATGGTTTTATCTCAGCCTGGGCTTGCCTGCCCTGCATCCAGCAGCTCCTGAGGCTGATAAGAACCGGAAATTCCCTGGAAAAAGGGAGCACTGCCCTCCCTCCTCACCCAAATCCTGCATCCTAAGAAAATCCCTGGAAAAAGGGAGCACTGAGGGGCTCCTGCCCTCCCTCCTCACCCAAATCCTGCATCCTAAGAAAATCCCTGGAAAAAGGGAGAAAAACCCAAAAAAACCAAAAAAAAAAAAAAAAAAAAAGCAAAAAAACCCCCAAAGTTCTCTGTGAAACCAGAGGAAAGGTGGGAGAGGCAAGAATGAAAATGCAAGTCTGCAGGAAATTCACCTTTTCCAGCCCTTCCCTGCTTCCAGCCAGGAAAATCCCTGGTAAAAGGGAGCACTGAGGGGCTCCTGCCCTCCCTCCTCACCCAAATCCTGCATCCCAGGAAAATCCCTGGAAAAAGGGAGCACTGAGGGGCTCCTGCCCTCCCTCCTCACCCAAATCCTGCATCCCAGGAAAATCCCTGGAAAAAGGGAGCACTGAGGGGCTCCTGCCCTCCCTCCTCACCCAGATCTGCATCCCAGGAAATTCCCTGGAAAAAGGGAGCACTGAGGGGCTCCTGCCCTCCCTCCTCACCCAAATCCTGCATCCCAGGAAAATCCCTGGTAAAAGGGAGCACTGAGGGGTTCCTGCCCTCCCTCCTCACCCAAACCCTGCATCCCAGGAAATTCCCTGGAAAAAGGGAGCACTGCCCTCCCTCCTCACCCAAACCCGGCACCCCCAGCACTGCCAGGGCTCAGGGAGCAGCTGGGCTGGAAGGGACCCGAAATCCCCACGGATCAGTGGGGTCAGGAGCCGTTTCCCTGAGGGACAGGCCAGCCCAGGAGAGGCTCCCACTGTCCCCGGGGCCGTGGGGACAGGCCAGCCCAGGAGAGGCTCCCGCTGTCCCCAGGGCCGTGGGGACACTCTGCACTCACCATCCCGCGGCGGCGGCGGCGTCTGCGTGAAGTAACTGTTGGGTTTGTCTGCAAGGAAACAAAAACCACGGAGCTGTCACGGGTTCCTCGGGCGCAGCCCTGCCCCCAGCCCTTTTTGGGGTGCTGTTTTATCCCTCCATGAGCAGGTTTGGGTCCCAGGAGCTGCTGGAGGCAGGAGGGAGCAGCAGGAACAGGAGGCAGCATCATCAAAATCCAGTTTGGGACAGTTCCAGGTACTGATGGAGCTGTCACGGGTTCCTCGGACACAGCCCTGCCCCAGCCCTTTTTGGGGTGCTGTTTTATCCCTCCATGAGCAGGTTTGGCTCCCAGGAGCTCCTGGAAGCAAGAGGGAGTGGCAGGAAGAGGAGGCAGCATCACCCAAACCCGGTTTGGGATAGCCCCAGGTACCAATGGAGCTGTCACAGGTTCCTCGGACACAGCCCTGCCCCCAGCCCTTTTTGGGGTGCTGTTTCATCCCTCCCTGAGCAGGTTTGGCTCCCAGGAGGTCCCAGGATCACCCAAACGCAGTTTGGGACAGCCCCAGGTACCACTGGAGCATCTCTGGTGTGGGATCTGGGAGCCTGGCGGGGCTGGGATCTGCCCCAGCCTGTCCTGCCCCATCTCCTGGGGGCTCTGAGGCCAATCCTGCTGTGGACCACCCCACACACACCTAGCCAGCAGGTTACCCCAGAGCAGGAATGCTGCAGCCCCCAAAAAGTGGGAGAAAGGGGCAGCAGAACTGCAAGCTGCCGTGGGTGTCACCAAAGAAGGGTCACCTGCCACCCCTCTGTGTTTGGGGACCCTGACTCTGCTCAGGGGAGCTGAGCTGAGCTCCCTCAAGCTCCAAAACCCCTCCCACGCTGCAGGGGAAACACCCAAAACCTGGGATTTGGGATGGGGCCGGGCTGTGGCAGAGATAACCCCACCCCAGCACACTCCGTGGAGACATCCGAGGGTTTTCCAGGGTTTATCCCCGAGCTCAGCTCCCCCAGGAGGAGCTGCACACCCCAAAGCCAGGCTGGAGGTGCCTGCCCTCCCTGGGCTTTCCCCCATCTGGAGATGGGATGTTCCTCGGGAAGGGGAGCAGGAGCCAGGCAGAAATCCTGGATCCACAGCCAAGGGATCGACTCAGCTGCACCAGGGATCAGATTCACAGCCAGAGCTCAGGGACCTGCCCTTCCCAAATCCTCACATCCCCCCAGGCATCTCCTGCCCTTCCAAAGCCTCACATTCCCCCAATCATCACCTGCCCTTCCAAAGACTCACATTCCCCCAATTACCTGCATCAACCCTTCCCAAATCCTGACATCCCCCCAATCATCACCTGCCTTTGCAAATCCTCACATCCCCTGGATCATCAGCTGCCCTTCCCAAGCCTCACATTCCCCCCATTCACCTGCACCAGCCCTTCCCAAAGCCTCACATTTCCCAGATCATCACTTCCAGCAGCCCTTCCCAAATCCTCACATCCCCTGGGTCATCTCCAGCCCTTCCCAAATCCTCACATCCCCTGAATCATCACCTGCCCTTCCCAAATCCTCACATCCCCCAGATCATCACCAGCCCCCCAAAGCCAGGCTGGAGGTGCCTGCCCTCCCTGGGCTTTCCCCCATCTGGAGATGGGATGTTCCTCGGGAAGGGGAGCAGGAGCCAGGCAGAAATCCTGGATCCACAGCCAAGGGATCGACTCAGCTGCACCAGGGATCAGATTCACAGCCAGAGCTCAGGGATCCTCACATCCCCCCAGGAATCTCCTGCCCTTCCAAAGCCTCACATTCCCCCCATTCACCTGCACCAGCCCTTCCCAAAGCCTCACATTTCCCAGATCATCACTCCCAGCAGCCCTTCCCAAATCCTCACATCCCCTGAATCATCTCCTGCCCTTCCCAAATCCTCACATCCCCCAGATCATCACCAGCCCTTCTCAAATCCTCACATCCCCAGATCCCCACCCGGATTTGGGATGCAGCCTGCCAGGAGCAGCAGCAGCAGCAGGTGGGAGCTGTCCTGGCCCACGCAGAGCCACCCTCACAGCTCTGCTCCTGCTTCCCTGCCAGGGAAAAGTGGGACAGGGAGCTGCCAATGCCGGGATTGTCCCCAAGGCGTGGGGCAGGGAGCTGCCAACGCCGGGATTGTCCCCAAGGCAGCAGGGAGCTCCTAATCTAAGAAAATCCCTGGAGGGGCTCCTGCCTCCAGGATTGTCCCCAAGGTGTGGGGCAGGGAGCTGTCAATCCCAAGATTGTCCCCAAGGCAGCAGGGAGCTGCCAACCCCGGGACTGTCCCCAAGGCAGGAGCAGCTCCAGGATTGTCCCCAAGGTGTGGGGCAGGGAGCTGTCAATCCCAAGATTGTCCCCAAGGCAGCAGGGAGCTGCCAACGCCGGGACTGTCCCCAAGGCAGGAGCAGCTCCGGGAGGAGCCGAGCTGTCCCCAGGAGCCCTGCGGCCAGCCTGCCCCTCTCAGGGACACCTACAGTTATTGAGGAAGAGCAGCACGGCGAATCCCAGCGTGGAGGTGGCCAGCAGGATGAGGCAGATGTTGCAGGGGATCATGAAGTAGCGCACCACCAGGGACACCTTGTGCTGGTACAGCCGGTCCCGCTCCAGGGCTCCCGGCGCCATGGGGTACTGGCACGCTGTCATGCTGGGCTGTCACACCCTGGAGGAGTCACCACGAGGCTCACGTGGATGCCTTTCCTCTGTCCCTGGGTGATTTTGGCAGCCTAAGTTTTCCCAGAGGTTCCCATCTTGGCTGGCAGCAGGATGGGGGCACCTTCAGGACTCTGAGCCCGGCGATGCCATGGCAGAGGCGTGGCCTTGGGGACAGCTTGGGGACAGCTCCAGCCCGCTCCGGAGGCACAGCGACACTCAGCCAGCCCCTGAGGTGTCAATCCACGGGTGCCCCCAGAAAGCAAACAGAAATCCCCAGAAAACAAACCAAAATCCCAGGGCTCCGAATCCGTGGCTGAGCCCACCAGGACAAGGACACGCTGGGGTGGGAACGGTGGGAACGTCACAGCAGGAGCAGCGCAGGGACAGGGACAGTGCCAGCACAGGAGCACTGCCAGGCTTGGGAATATCGCTGTCCTCTGGGATATCCTGTGAGATCCTCCAGGATTATCTTCTGGGATCCTCCAGGATAACCTCTGAGAACCTCTGGGATATCCTCTGAGATCCTCCGGGATATCTTCTGTGATCCTCCAGGATCACCACCAAGATCCTCCAGGATAACCTCTGGGATCCTCCAGGATAACTTCTGAGATCCTGCCGGATAACCTCTGAGATCCTGTGGGATCACCTCTCAGATCCTCTGGGATATCCTCTCAGATCCAGGCCGGCCTCACTCCGGGCACACGGAGCTCCCTCCGCTGTCCAGCAGCTCCTCCAGGACACGTCCGGCAGCCTCTGATCCTCCTCGCAGCCAGGAACGGCCAAGATTCCAGGAGAAACCCAAAATTCCGTGAGCAGCCAAGATTCCGGGAGAAACCCAAAATTCCGTGAGCAGCCAAGATTCCGGGAGAAACCCAAAATTCCGTGAGCAGCCAAATTTCCAGGAGCAGCCAAGATTCCGGGAGCAGCCCAAGGATTCCCAGAGAAGCCCAAAATTCCAGGAGCAGCCCAAGGATTCCGGGAGCAGCCAAGATTCCGGGATCAGCCCAAGGGCTGCGGGAGAAACCCAATTCCAGGAGCAGCCAAGATTCGGGAGCAGCCCAAAGATTCCAGATCAGCCCAAGGATTCCGGGAGCAGCCCAAAATTCCAGGAGGAGCTCAAGGATTCCGGGAGCAGTCCAAGGATTCCGGGAGCAGCCCAAGGATTCCGGGAGCAGTCCAAGGATTCCGGGAGCAG